TTTCTCACAGGCTACAAAACACACGTCCTCTAGACTAGGAGGAGAGAGAGAGACAAGATCTATAGTTAGTTCATGATATCATGATGTTGTCATATAAATTTCACATCAAAACAAAATATTCTAGGCTAGATGGAAAGACAAGAGAAATAGTTCAAGGCAGGGTCATATAGGTGACATTTGAGGTATATCTTGTACTGGTATACACTTGGTTGTACACTCTGCAAGACTGTGTAATTGCTTACAAAACCCAACCATACATTTGTGCAAGTGATCATAAAGATATCATAGGGTACATGTCGAAATGGCAAAAGTGAAGTTGTAGATCTATGCATTAAATCATCCCATTGAAGGAAACTAAAGCAACCTACTGATTGTTATCATCAGAGCCTCGCAACCTTTGAGCCTACTCAGGTCGTGCAGACTTTCCTATCGCAGAGCCATAATGGATATCAAACAGAGAATTCACTTGTGGCACTCAAATATTTAGTAAGATGCCCTTTTCTAAATCTGGCCATCCATGTTTGACATGTATTAGTCGCTAAGGGATCTATTCCTCTATGTCAGGCCTGCACAACTCAGAATGTAAGGCGGGCCGTAATACTTTATGAAAAGCTTGTGTGGGCCGAAAGATGATAGGACAGGGGGGAAGCTATAAAGAAAATAATAATAATTAAGAATATTTCATTCCACATGCGGCCCACGGGCCTTATGTTGTGCAGGCCTGCTCTATGTGAATGTTAGCAGAAAATGTTCATACTATATGACCATATGACATTAAAGTTTCATAACTATTTGACCATACGAAATTAAAGTTTTGTTACTATTTTATCATATGTATTAAAGTTTGGTAACTATTTGACCATATGACATTAAAGTTTTGATTGTCTTGTGCTGTGCTTCAAGGTATTAATGAGATGTTTGATTGTCTTGTGTTGTTCTTCAAGCTATCCAATATTTCTATACTATTTCTTCCAAGTTCAACTTTGCTTGTGGAGAACTGATATAATGAAGTGAATATCTGATATGATGGTGTGGACATCTGATATAATGATGTCGACATCTAAAATAGTGGTGTGGACATCTGATATAATTGTGTGTACTTCTGATATAATGGTGTGGACATCTGATATAATGATGTGGACATGTTATAATGGTGTGGAGATCTGATATAATGGTGTGGACATACGATATTGGCAGTAAAAGTAAAAAACCAATGGCAATGTAGTAGACTTGAAAGAATGTACTTACTCGTAGGGATAACTGTAGGAGAATGAGACGGTTTGAGCAGGCAATGTGCCGTTACACACAACTGAGAATGTGGTCGAACTCTTATGGCTTGTTGTGGTGGCAAAGGCAAAGATAGACAGCACCTGTAAAAGATGAAGCAAAAATCATTAACCATCACTTTTTGTTCTGATGGAGATGGATTTGAAAACTACTCATTACCCATTTTCATGAGGAAAGTTAATCCACCGAATGGATATTTTTTCATTTCATTTTTGGGTGGTGGAAGAATTAAGGACAATGGAGAGATAAAGAAATAAAAGTGGAATGAATAATTGAAATTGATGGCTAATATGTCTTGACTCCACCGTACCTCTTTGAAACGTCTCCACTATACACATCTTGGTCAAAAAGTTAAAGCTAAATCTATCTGTATGGACGGATTTATCTAACCAATCATAAATTAACAACAAAACTATCATCAACCAGATAAGTCAACTTAACATTATTATTTCCACGGTAATTAACTCTTGTCTTTATCAGCAGAAAATACCTTAACATTGACTTGAACTGTCCAAGTCAAGTAGAACATATCCCCCCTCCCCCTCCCACCCCCACCCTCTGAGTACCACGGGGCTAATCCAGACAGTAGATCAATCCCGGGACAGGTCAGTTTTCAGCTGCCCAGTCCTCCAAAAGATCTCTTGTGTGTTCTACTGGCTCCTTGGGAAGCCACTTGTGTCAAGAGAGGCAGGAGAGCCGACCAACAAAAGAACCTTCGATTGGTCATCTGGAGATGTTCCATTGACAGCCCCCCCTCCCCCCAACCGCCCCCCGCCCCCCCCCCCCCCCCNATCGCCCCCCCCCCCCCCCCCCCCGCACAATAAATTCGTTCATCTCATTTCTGTCCTCTAGTACCCAATGAATGAGCCAATGGCAAATGATCCATTCTTTCTGTCCTTTATAAAAACAGACCGTTCACGGAGGGAAATTTAAAAAAATACTTTCTGTTCACTGTTCTTTGGTTCTTGTCGCAGTATCAGATGTTTGCCAATGTTTGAGTCAAGTGGTGCAAAGAAAGGGCAGCTTATGGTAATTGTCTGAGTATCAGTATGGGCAGCTGGTGCTAAATGTCTGTGTCTGTATTTGGGTTTCAGTATGGGCAGCTAGTTCTAATTGTCTGTGTCTGAGTTTGAGATTGCGCAGCTTGATCTAATTGTCTGAGTTTTGGTTCCAGTCTTACCACTTCTATTTTGCTCCTGGATACTTTCAGTTACGAATTACCTACAACTAATTTTAAATAAAAAATGCAAGCTGGGTACAAGATTAAACGCAATTCCAGTTCAATATGGCTGGGGCTCAGTGACCCCCCCCATTCCCCCCCCCCCGCATACAGTGCCATTGCATAAGTAATAAGTGGCCACTTTACTGGGATTCAATCATCAAACGTTTCAAAGGCTAACACGTCCATAATATTTCAGGTTTTTAAAAAAAAAATGCCAGCTGGGTAAAAAATTAAACCCCATTCCCGTTCAAAATGGGCGGGGCCCCGTGTCCCCCCCCTTCCCCCCCCCCCCGCATACAGTGCCATTGCATAAGTAATAAGTGGCCACTTTACTGGGATTCAATCATCAAACGTTTCAAAGGCTAACACGTCCATAATATTTCAGGTGAGTTCCAGTATTGACATTGAAAGAGGTTGTCCATAAGGATGCTCCCCACAAAAAACGCATTTTCCACCTCCTCCCCCTTGACCGCATGTGGCTTACCCCCTTGACCGCATATAGCTTACCCCCTTGATCGCACGTGGCTCACCCTTGATCGCATGTGGGTTACCCCCTTGACCGCATGTGGCTTACCCCCTTGACCGCATGTGGCTTACCCCCTTGACCGCACGTGGCTCACCCTTGATCGCATGTGGCTTACCCCCTCCAACCCCACCCCAGGGTTGAGGAAGTCCACAGGGGCATACGGCCACTGATAGTGCGAAATACCAGGAAGTAAGATAACGATTGTAAAGAGCAAAGAGTCAGTAGATTTAATCTTTTAAATCAGTATGATAAAATGTCCAGCCCTTGATCACGCACTCCCTGCAGAAGAGATAAACAAAAGACCAGGCCTTATGTTATTGCTGGGACCAGTAGTAGCAGAAGTAAGTGTGGTGGATGGACAACGGAAGTGTGGTGGATGGACAACGGAAGTGTGGTGGATGGACAGCGGAAGTGTGGTGGATGGACAACGGAAGTGTGGTGGATGGACAACGGAAGTGTGGTGGATGGACAACGGAAGTGTGGTGGATGGACAACGGACGTGTGGTGGATGGACAACGGAAGTGTGGTGGATGGACAACGGAAGTGTGGTGGATGGACAACGGAAGTGTGGTGGATGGAGAATGTAAGTTTAGTGGATGGAGTACGGACGTGTGGTGGATGGACTACAGAAGTGTGGTGGATGGACAACGGAAGTGTGTTGGATGGACAACGGAAGTGTGTTGGATGGACAACGGAAGTGTGGTGGATGGAAAACGGAAGTGTGGCGGATGGACTATAAACGTGTGGGGAAAATAACTTTCTCAGACCCACAAAATAGATGTAGAGCGACTATGCCAAATTTATGAAGTATAGTTTCCATGACATTGCTTAATTTTGAGTTTACATAAGTGGCTGCTGTAGAAATTTGCCCCCCCCCCCATAGACGTAATGAAAAGGGACACTAGTCATCACATTGTGATGGTGTATGCGGCGGATGGCCGGTGTGTTGATCGGCGAAGCTATCAAGACATCTGTATACACAGTATATCCAGTGAATCTAACATCTAACAGGCATTTGAAATATTGAATGACTCGCTGTTCAACAAGTCCAATGATAAAACCGGGCAGTAGCTCGACAATTTGATTCTGTAATCGTTCTCCCTCCCTTCCTCCATCTCTCTCTCCCTCCACACCCTCACTCTCTCTCTCTCTTTCTCTCGCTAACACAGTACCACCACTAGTCGATTAAAATGTCAACAGCATTTAGTCAAGTTATTGATGTTTGGTTGGATTGGCCACCGAGTCGTCCATCCAGAAATAGCTTCCCCCCGCAAACCATCATCACCACCACATTGATATCGCATACCATCCTTGGTTATCTTAACTGTAACACGGCAATAGGTTCGGCAATAGGTTCGGCAATAGGTTCGGCAATAGGTTCGGCAATAGGTTCAGCAATAGGTTCGGCAATAGGTTCGGCTCATCTTGGCCAGCCTGTTCAAGAAAACAAACTTTGTGATTCCCGGTATCAACAACCCACAGCGAACGTTAATATTAAGGGAATTCCCCGAAAGATATAAATAATAATCGACATATTATATCAAGAGATATTTTACACTGAATGGGCTCCCTGAGCTATTTATAGCTCCCGACTAAGCCATTTCAGGACTAAAAGGGTAGCTTACTAAGTGGCCTTCTCGACTTGTTCCAATCTAACTTCCTTCTTGCCCAACACATTCTGATGCAACAAACAATGCAGGAATAACACACTTGAGGACATTAGAGGCTGGAATCGGGAGACTGGGTTATTTGTCCTCTAATCAGTTCAATGTCAATTTTAAGCTGATAGATCTTCCAATCGTGCAGGGTACCATTGATATAGGACATTTTGTGACACGTCTTTTGTGACACATATTTTGTGACACGTCATTTGCGACACGCTGGTGTGGCCACGGACGAAATCACGTGGTCTCACATACTATAAATTACAATGATATTCCTTAAGTCCAGTCAGTAACAACATTCTAGAGTAAGAGTTGAGTTATACATTGGCTTAGGGGTGGACACGATAACACATAACTAGAGCGGTAGGTTGAACAATTTGTTCTATGTAAAATACTAAGACAATAACAGTACAATAACGTCTCGATCTATTCAATAATAACAAAGTACCAGGGCAGTAAACTGAAAACATTGCTCTGAGCAATTCTATTTGGCTAACAAAAAATTGGTTTCTTTCAATAATACTGTTGCTTACATAATGTCAAAATAAGGAAATAGTGTTATTGAAATTAGATCATGGAACTATACCAATAATGTACGAGTGCCGGTATTTATAGTTTATATATCCTGATAGATATATACCTAACTGTCATGATATCTACCTATCTGCCCAGATATTTACCAGTCTGTCCTGATATATCATCTACCTATCCGTCCAGATATCTACCTATATGTCCTGATATATCATCTGCCTAGCTGTCCTGATATCTACCTATATGTCCTGATATATCATTGCCTAGCCGTCCTAATATCTACCTATCTGTCCTGATATATCATTGCCTATCCGTCCAGATATCTACCTATCTGTCCTGATATCTACCTATCTGTCCTGATATATCATCTGCCTAGCTGTCCTGATATCTACCTATCTGTCCTGATTATATATTACATAACTTTACCTTCTATTTCAACCCATCAACTCCGTGTTGTTTATTTTTTTTCATTTTATTAATGCAGTCACGACCAATTGACTTGTCAGAAATGTCGTCTCAAACTCTGGGTGAGTACATCTTTAAAGTGATCATTGTGGGGGACTCGTCTGTGGGCAAGACGTCTATGTTACTCAGGTACACGGATGACTGCTTCAACGAGAGCTTTATTACAACCATCGGAGTGGACTTCAGGTAAGGACGCAACATGTGTGGTAACCTCTAGCAATACAGGTGTGGTAACCTCTAGCAATACAGGTGTGGTAACCTCTAGCAATACAGGTGTGGTAACCTCTAGCAATACAGGTGTGGTGACCTCTAGCAATACAGGTGTGGTAACCTCTAGCAATACAGGTGTGGTAACCTCTAGCAATACAGATGTGGTAACCTCTAGCAATACAGGTGTGGTAACCTCTAGCAATACAGGTGTGGTAACCTCTAGCAATACAGGTGTGGTAACCTATAGCAATACAAGTGTGGTCAACTCTAGCAATACAGGTGTGGTAACCAATAGCAATACAGGTGTGGTCAACTCTAGCAATACAGGGGTGGTAACCTCTAGCAATACAGATGTGTTAACCTCTAGCAATACAGGTGTGGTAACCTATAGCAATACAGGTGTGGTCAACTCTAGCAATGTGTTCGTTACAACTATGCAGGGGAGCTTTGCTAGCCTGGACAGTTGTGGTCAAGTTATTTAGATCTATATTTTATTTATATCAGACATATTGATATAATATACACAGGAGAACGTTATTTATTCACATCAATCTTCAATCATTCCTCAGAATCAAATCCATTGAGGTCTCAGGAGTGACGGCCAAAATGCACTTGTGGGATACGGCCGGCCAAGACAGGTTTAGAAACATAACCTCCAGCTTCTACAGGGGCGCCGACTGTGTGCTTCTGGTCTATGACGTCACGGACATGCACAGTTTCACCAATCTCAATACGTGGCTCAACGACGTACAACGATACGGCACCGAGCACAGCCTCGTGCTGTTGGTCGGCAACAAGCTGGACATGGCCGGCAGACGGGTGGTCTCAGAGGCCGAGGCTCGTCAGTTCGCCGAGAGTGCCGGCTTGAGGTACGTTGAGACCAGCGCCAAAGATGCCACCAACATACATGACGCGTTCACGTCCGTAGCCCTGGAGTTGGTTGAGCGCAGGAAACAGGACTTGCGACCACAGGCTGCACGTGATTTCAATGTAGACTTGACCAACACCAGGGAGAATTTCCGCGAGGGATTCTGTTTTGGTGCTAGAACATGTTCCTCTATTTAGTACTTGAGGTAGCTACTTGCCATATGGACATCAGATATGTGGCACGATGTACGTGTGTTTTGGACCTAACAATACATCAAAGTCATATTGTGTTTTAAGTTATCAAGAACACTGCACTGCACTCTCTCGGGACACCGTGCCCGTCAGAGACAACATCCTCTCCAGGGTCACTTTAATCTTTAGGAGCACCTTTGCGACTAATTTATCATTAAAGGACTGATAGCCCCCCCCCTCCCCTTGTGTTTGTGTGGATGCTATGGTGACGTAGACCGGAGTAGCGTAGGCATAAAATTTGAGAGACCCTGTCTACACGGTCACAGTAATCTTTAGTAGCACCTTACTGTCCAGGTACACCGGGCTATTCAAGCACATCCAGGGGTCACCATGCTCCCCATGGCCTATGTACTCACTGGGGGATGATGCACCCTTTCGGGTTACAGTACTTTGCGTGAGAGTGTCCCATTTCCAATGCAACTTCTAATATACCAGCTCTTAATATCTTGTATATGTGCTGATGCCTAACATTATTTAGCAGTGACCCCCTATAGGACTTGCACTGATGCATACTATTATAAGAGGTTCACCATTTGCCCCTCTATGTATAACTTATAATAAGGCTCGTAGACCGTTCCCATAACGTTAATATATAAGAGCAATTATTCTGTACCGGTGTTTCAATTTCTTGTTCCTACCAACACATTCAGCTTTAATGATGTTTCACAATTTTGTGCTCAAATTTTTATGTTATTTAATGTAATGAGCTCAACTATACACTAACTGCTGTTACACTCAATTGATTGATCTCATGATAAATTGCTATTTTTCATTGTATGATTGGCGTACACAGCAGCACACATGTTACAACAAGTACGGTATCAATAAAGACTCTTAAAACTCCACTCTTGACTATTTTTTTCTCTTTTATTATGTAAGCAGGTCTACGAGAACATTTAAAATAATATAACATAATTAGACTGCATTATTCTTATCAGTTTTATCTCTCGACCAATATTTACAATGGGCAAAAAGCGGGTTCTTCATAAGTTGAATTTTAACATCTAACAAAATTCAGGAAATGTCACGTCTAGTTTTTATATTATAGAGAATGTTATGGTGTAGTGTATCATAAACTAGAGTCTGAGAGGGGTCCATTGGTGGACAGTGAAAATTCAAATGATGATCCGATAACTTTCTAATGATGGTCCAAGAAGATTCCAATGGTTGTCCGACAAAGCTGTAATTTTTGGTCAAAGAAGGGACCAATGGTGTTCCGAGAAGATTCCAATGGTTGCCCGACAAAGCTGTAATGTTTGGTCAAAGAAGGGACCAATGGTGTTCCGAGAAGATTCCAATGGTTGCCCGACAAAGCTGTATAATAATGTTTGGTCAAAGAAGGGACCAATGGTGTTCCGAGAAGATTCCAATGGTTGCCCGACAAAGCTGTATAATAATGTTTGGTCAAAGAAGGGACCAATTGTGTTCCGAGAAGATTCCATTGCTTGTCCACAAAGGTTCCAATCCTGGTCCAAAATGGCGGTTTGAGAAGGTTCCTAAGGGGGTACGAGAAAGGAATGAGAAGGGACGAAAAATGATACGAGACGAGTCAAATGGTTGTTGGCGAATCGGGTTCATATCCCATCCCACCTCCTTTTTTTTCCCTCTGTAAATAAAGTTCTTTAGAAGCATGTCTTATGTCATGTTTAGAATTAGGAAAAAGTTGACAACGTGAGATCAACTCACGTACAGACCCGTTTGAACATGATTCTTCGAAGACTAAACTGTCGTGCATAGTTCACGCTTTTCTGCTGGAGAGAAAGATATAAGCAACATAGTCATAGGAATGCCCGCAAGCTTATATAGAACTCTCCACTCTCGCTCTCTTCATATATATATCTATATCTATATATATATCTATATATATATCTATATATATATATATATATATATATATATATATATCTATATATATATATATATATANATATATATATAGATAGATAGATAGATAGATAGATAGATAGATAGATATATAGATAGATAGATAGATAGATAGATAGATAGATAGATAGATAGATAGATAGATAGATAGATAGATAGATAGATAGATATACAAGCACTGATTGATTGCAAGGGATTGATGAATATTTGGAAACATTTCTTTTGACAGGATGCAGCAATTCCAAAGCAAACATTGATGCTATCTTGAAAGCCAAACGTCAGTTTCACCAATCTCCCTAAACTTTTTTGGTGCGACGTTTGTAAGATTCGGATATGTGCGCACTCGGTCTGATGTACCTATCTTTTTGCTAACGTCGCCTTCTTTGCCATTTTTAAAGTAAATGTTTGTTGTCTTTGCTTTTTTGCATTGCACGCCACTCCCCCATGATTAACATGGAATATTAAACCAAGTTTTTCGTCTTTTCCCCCCAGGGCTTTAGTTCTGGCATTCAAAGTATTGTACACAATGATCATCCGTCCAGTGCTCGACATTTTTTACCGTTATCCGGCCCGCCGTGAAAAAAGTTCGGTGACCCCTGAATCAAGGCATACTTCTCATTCAATCAAGGCATACTTCTCATTCTATAAAGGCATACTTCTCATTCAATCAAGGCATACTTCTCATTCTATAAAGGCATACTTCTCATTCAATCAAGGCATACTTGTCACACAAAAATCGAGCCATCCCCCCCCCCCCCCCCCCCCCCGATCTTTAGAGACATATTTCCTGGTTTATATGGAATATTTGTCGGTTTTTAGGGAAATAATTCGTCATCTATAGGGAAATACAACCTAGCGAAATACTTGCTGGTCTATAGGGAAATACTCCCGTGTCTTACGGGTCATACACCCAGGTCTATGGGGACATACTCCACGGGTCTAAACTGTATATCTATGTTTGCGCATTAAAGAAATTTACAAAGTTTGGAACTTGGAGCCGTAAGACATTATAACAGCTCCATCTCCAGGCAAAAAGACCATGCTCAAGTGCCCCAAGCTCCAGCTCCGCCCCAAACCACTGTTTGTATTTATAATTTCAATGCACCATTGAGCTGTTGATAGCTCCTGAATAATGGACTAACGTACTAAAAAGGCAGTAGCTTACTAAGTGGGCGTCGCGGCTTGTTGCTCTCTTATCAATCTAAATTCAGTCTGGTCTATGTTATGTTATGTTAATTATGAATCAACAAACAAAACAGGAACAACACAATTAAGGGAATTGGTTCTCAAAGAGGGCGGTACCGCCCAATCCCCCCGAGGGTGGTGTGAGAGCCCAGGCGGCCGGTAAAAGCCTTGGGAGATTTTAAGGGACACGCCAGGACACGCTAAGAGGCGCCGGGGTATTGTACAGGAAGTATGTACATTTTAATCTGAGAGATGTATCATTTGTACAGCTGAATCACCTTTGATACGGGACATTTCGTGAAATGTCATTTGTGACACGCTGGTGTGGCCACGGACTACATCACGTGGTCTCTTACACTATAAATTCAAAGCTATCATCTAAGTCAAATCAGTGACCACATCACACAGGGAAAGTTTAGTTACACATTGGCTTTGGGTGGACACAGTAACACATTACCAGAGAAGTAAGTTGAGTTCTTGCAAATAGTAGCAATTACTAGAGCGTTATGGTGAACATATTGTTCCATGCAAATTCGGTTAATATAAAATTGATTTCTTTCATGAGTCCCAGTGGTTGAATAATGACAAACAAAGACAATATTGTGCCATAGCTAACGGATTTTTTATATTTATATAGATGGACGAGTGTTTATATCAGAACATATCTAAGTCATTAGGACATCAGTACGTTGTAGTAGAGCCTGTATAAGTGGCTTGAACTGACCAAAGGCCGAAGCATAAAATAGCCATGGTTTGTCTCGTAAGCGTAGTCTTTGCTTGTCTCGTAAGCGTAGTCTTTGCTTGTCTCGTAAGCGTAGTCTTTGCTTGTCTCGTAAGCGTAGTCTTTGCTTGTCTCGTAAGCGTAGTCTTGGTTCGTCAAGTTTTATGACTTTTTTTCACTGCATTTGAACATGTGCTATTTTGTCTTTGACTGACATAGTAAGTACTACACTTTGTTCATACAGAATCAGAAATGGTGCCCCGTAACGATACACGTGTATTAAGTGCGCAAGCGTTTAACAAAGGGAAAGAAAAACCTAACATTAACATACAATTAGGCATGTCAGCTGATTGGTTAATTATAACTAAATGGCAAAGGGGTGGTTGGGGGTTAAAATAGGATTTCAGCCCAATAATTTTGTTTGATGTGCGGTACAACTCGTCGCCAGTGGCGTAGGAAGGGGGGTGCGTATATATACACATATATATACTATTGCCTACTATTTCAACCCAAAATTGTTAACGTATTTGTTTTATTAATGCTATTATGAATTTTTAATTGTCAGAAATGTCATGGCAAAGACTTGACGAGAGCCGCTTCCTATTTAAAGTGATCCTTGTGGGAAACTGTTCTGTGGGCAAGTCGTGTATGATACTCAGGGCCACGGATGACTTTTTCAATGAGAGGTCTTTGCCTTTCGTCACATATGAATTCAGGTAATGAGACAACAGGTGTGATCAACTGATGCTATGATTACATTACACCTATGTAAGTAAGGGGGTGAGTTAATGTGACTAGTTGTGGTGAGGTTATTTAGATCTATGTTTTAAAGGAAGTGGACATTTTTTAAAATCAATTCCGTGAAATATTTAGTATCTGATTATTGGTTCACCGGAAAACGTTATCTCTGTAGATCAATAAGTATTCAGTCATACCTCTACAGAACCAAAACTGTTGATGTCTCAGGAGTGACGGCCAAAATTATGTTGTGGGACACGCATGGCGAAGAGAGATTTAGAATCCTAAAGCCCAGCTACTGTAGGGGCGCCGATGGTGTGCTGCTTGTTTTTGACATCACGAACAGAAAGAGTTTCACCGATCTCGATGCCTGGCTAGACAAGGTACGAGTCTACCTTTCCGAGCACACCCTCGCGCTGTTGGTTGGCAACAAGCTGGACATGGCCGACAGTCGGGTGGTCTCAGAAGTGGAAGCTCGTCAGTTTGCCGAGAGTGCAGGCTTGAGGTACATTGAGACCAGTGTCAAAGATTCCACCAACGTAAAGGACATGATCACGTCCGTAGCCCAGGAGTTGGTTGAGCGCAGGAAACAGAACTTGCAACAACAGCTTGACCGCGACAACATGGTGCACTTGGCCAACACCAGGGGATACTACAGCGAGGGATTATGTTTTGGTGCCAATACATGTGCCACAATTTAGTACCTGAGGCGGCTACTTGCCATAAGGACATCATAAATGTACGATATACATGTTTTATTTGGACCTAACTATAAATTCAAGGTCATATTGTGTTTAAGTTATCAGGAACACTGCACTTTCAGGGGCACTGTACACTTTCAGACACACAGGTAACATTCAGAGAAAACCAACCTCAACAGGATCACAGTAATCTATAGGAGCACCTCACCGTCCAGGGACACCGTAGTCTTCAGGCACAATGAGGGTCACCATGTACCCTAGGGTCGCTGCACTTTCCAGGGACTATGTACCCTTTCGGGTTAGGGAACTTTGCGTGAGATTGCCCAATGTCCAATACAGGCTCTACTGTAACATTTCCTAAAATCATATGTATGTTCTGATAGTGGTAGTGACACCCTATATCACTTCCACTGATGCCTTATAACTTATAAACCCATATGTTTCATAAGGCTTCGGGGACCGTTTCAGAGATGTTTAAATGTGTCCAATATTTCATTTCATATATCAATCATATTTATTTATGATTTTTTAATATTATTATTATTCTCAACTCAACTCTAACTACACGCTAATCGTACTTTGACATTAATGGTAATATTAAGCTCAACTCTAACTAAACTCTATTCTTACTCTCGGGTTATTGATATTTCACCTTTTTGGTGTATTCACCAGAGCAGATGTTAACTATCAATAAAGACACATACAAGTCTCATTTTCATTTATTTGTTGCGTGCGTCTTTTATTAATTTGAAAAGGTCTACGAGAAAACATAAGAATGATTGAAAATAAATAAACATCATTGGTGTTGTAAGTCCCAAGACTGTTCAAATAGTTACACAGCACTATTAAGAGGTCCCAGACTGTGCATTTTTTCCTCAGCATCTCCATAACTTTTTTTCGAACATTATCTCCACATATAAGCCAGTCAAAAACCATGCTTATATCACAAAGAGGATTATATGAACCGGAGAACGTGCACATGTACCCATCAGACACAAAAGACTAGCTAAAGATTTACAAATTAAATATGCAGAGGTTGTACACAGACGGGCAGTTCCACCGTAATGGCTAGTGCCATATGGCTCCTCCTGACCTAGGATTGACCCCATGACCTTAAGGACGCATTGATTGTTCGAATGGAGGTCAGCCCAGAACCCCATTGGCAGACAACTGCTTCTATTGTAGACAATGTCCTTCTGAGACAGACACAACGCGCTCGTTTCATACCGCGACCAATATTTACAATGGGCAAGCGGGTTCTTAATATGTTGAATTTTAACATCTAACAAGATTCAGGAAATGTCACGTCTAGTTTTTATGTTGTAGAGAATGTTATCGTGTAGTGTATCATAAAATAAGAGTCTGAGAAGGGTCCATTGGTGGTCCGAAGGGGTTTAAATGGTGATCAGTGAAAATTCCAATAATGGTCCGATAAGGTTCTAAAGATGGTCCAAGAAGATTCTTATGGGGGTCCGAAAAGGCAGAAGGGGCCAATGGTGGTCAGAGAAGTTCAAATGGTGGTCAGAGAAGTTCCAATGGTGGTCAGAGAAGTTCCAATGGTGGTCAGAGAAGTTCCAATGGTAGCTCAAGAAGATTCAAATGGTTGTCCGACAAAGTTCTAATGTTGTTAAAGAAGGTTCCAATGGTGGTAAGAAAGAGGCACGAGAAAGAACTAAGCGATTCCTTGGCCTTGGTTTGTCACTTCCGGATTAAATTTTGAAATGGGCCGGCCCTCTTTAAAATGTCTGGGTAGGCTTTACTTTAACCTCCTGTGTCAAGGATGTATTGACGGAATATCAGCGATTTAATGGCGAGCGAGTGTCAGGGGTCAAGATATGGTTGTGGTACGCCATCAAGGCGCAGATTCAGGGAGGTCAAGGCAATGAAAAGCTGTGAACCACTGTGCAAGCCCTACAAGGGGATGAACAAAAATAAATGTCAAACATTCTACATTTTTTAATCCATTCACTGACTCTCTTGGCTCTCCAGGTCGTAATGAGATAGCCTTTTGGTTTGGAAACTGGGTCAACAATTTTACGCCAAAGCGGGGAGTCCGAAATGTCATTGTCCATATCCTGGGACACTGGCAACCACTGACGTCAGCTAGAAGAGTTGCGCGTCTCCAAACTCAACATGCTCGGTCATTGACAGTTATCAGCGGGAAACTACCGTGATAATTCCTTATTTACCTTAACAATGTGTCCATTAATTATTTTGTGAGTTTTGTCATTTCAGTCTTAATGAGTTGTGTCGATTCACTCTTAGTGACTTGTGTCAATTTACAATTAGCGTGTTTTTATCCATTCACTTGGAGAGTTAGTGTCCATATTCACTTAGTTGTATCCATCCACCTTTAGTAACTCAAAAAGTCACCAAAACAGCTCTAGACAATACGGCTAGGAAGCAAGAATAGGCCAGACACTCAAGCCCCCCCCCCAGTCCCGCCCCACCCCCTTCTCCTTGTATAAACCCATCTCATTTTACCACCGCTGAGCCCTCTCACATTTACCCTCATTCTATCCAATCCCTGGCTCAATGTCTACACGAGTCTACAACAGTAAACAAAGGCCAGCCAATCAACATGACATAAACCGGAAATAAGATGACATGAAGGCCAGTAATCATGTCCAGGAAAGGGCGACCTCTGATCTCCATTGTCCGTGGCATCGTCTGCTGGGACCTGAAGACGGGCAGACAGCAGGAACGATGGGATGATGTCGAGAGGTCTTCATAACGACTCGGGGAAACCACATTCTTTTTAAGGCATCATTTAAACCCCTCCACTTCCAAAGACGTCATTCTACATGTCCCACTACCAAAGACGTCCTTCTACATGCCCCACTACCAAAGACGTCATTCTACATGCCCCACTATCAAAGGCGTCATTCTACCTGCCCCACTACCAAAGACGTCATTCTATATGTTCCACTATCAAAGACGTCGTTCTAAACCTTCAAATATCAATTAAGCCAGTCTGCGTGTTTCACTGTCATGATCAAAGACACCCTCAACATGTCCAACTATAAAAGAGGTCATTCTATATGTTTCAATATTAAAGACGTCATTGTACAAGTTCCAGTGTTAATGACGTCATTCTAGACGTTCCAATAGCAAAGACGTTACTCTAAAACGTTCTACTGTTAAAGAATTCGCTCTGCACGTTCCACTACCAAAACGGTCATTCTACACATTGCAATATCAAAGACGTCGTTCTATATTTTCCACTGTTAAAGACGTTAGTCTACACGTCCCTCGACCTAAGACATGATACAACCTTCTCCCCGAATATGCACTCCACATCAGCACCACATTCCCTGCCAGTAAACGCTCTGTCCACCACCTGTGTCAAGGATGTATAAAAGCTTTTTTGTTTCCAAAGGAACGCTACGTACATCATCTATCCGCGGCGTAAGCGCCTGGTTCCGAAATGGACAAGATCATCATCACCAGTGGTCAGCTCAAATATCTGGTGACACGAGATTACAAAAACTTCGATAAAAGGTCAGTCGTTTAAAAGACGTCGTTCTCAAACACACAGGAACAATATTTGCACAAGCTGTCGTAGTAATGAATTCCCAACAGTGAGCACTGGAGCGCGCGATTGTTAGGTTCGAGTAATACGCGTCCCGCTTCCCGCCAGACCTCACCATTGGACGCCCTTCTCGTGTGCCCCATCCCCCATTTAATATACGGCGTTTTCTATTTAAATGACAGAACTACATGATTCTTGCACTAGACAGCTGAGGTGTTGGCACCATTTGGTAAACTCTAATTCTGGTAACACCCCCCCCCCCCCAACTGATCTGTGATCCTGATAACACCTTCTATTGGTGTTTGTGACATTTGTAAAAGTGTTTATGTCTCTGAAATGAAACCTTAATTATATTGATCGAAGCTCTTAAAGGAAATTGTTCAATTACTATTAGTAGTTGTTTGATCTTTTATAATAAAACAAAGCGTTAGCTATGACGAGTCTCACTCGAGTTCGTCTCAACCAAAGTAATGGATTGTTTGAGACGAGATACATAAAAATGGAAATGGATTCATGGATGATGGTAAATATTAGGAGGGTCATTTGGTCCAGAAAAGGCTCATCTGTCAGTTGTAAAACAGTGACACACTAAATGAGTTTGAGGAGGGGTTGGGGTCTTTGCTGGAATTCCTCCTTTCCAAAGAAAGGGGGAGGGGGTGTTGTTGAAAATGGGCGACCAGGAATGATGGGTGGAAAGGGACGACCAGGAATGATGCGTGGGAAGAAACGACAAGGAATGATGATTGGAAAGGGACGACAAGGAAATGATGATTGGAAAGGGACGACTAGGAATGATGGGTGGAAAGGAACGACAAGGAAATGATGAGTGGAAAGGGGACGACAAGGAATGATGGGTGGAAAGGAACGACAAAGAATGATGGGTGGAAAGGAACGACAAGGAATGATGGGTGGTTTTCAAGAAGTCCCGTAGACGGGCGTTCAATTAGTATTTCATCCAAGGCGAAAGTAAGCGTACAGCTTTAAAAAAACAACAACTCCATTCGCAACAAGACATCTGATTGTCTGTCATTCCCTGACAGTGACTGCGTGAATCAATATGCTCTACATTATCCTCACAACAAGATGAAAATAAAGGCTTCCGAGATAATCAATCAAATAGCAGCGGTGGACGTGAGATTCCTCCGTGTGTAAGCCAGTGAATGCCAGTGATAAACATCATCATTACAGACTAGTCGGTCGTAACCATCAAGTCAACACATTGGTTTTATGTAACATCTCCATTGCAGACTGGTCGAACATAACCAACAAAGCAATACATTGTTTTATGTGACATCTTTATTACAGACTAGTCGGTCGTAACCAACAAGTCAACACATTGGTTTTATGGCCCACTTCTTATGTTAGTTCCATGGAAAATATCCTTATAAATCAAGACGATTCCCATTCAAATGTTATTAACAAGCATACCATTCTATTCTATATCAATGTTAGGGTATTTAGAAAACGTGCACATTCCATCGACATCTGAAGCTCTTTCAATTAAAACACCCCTCATTGAATCAAAGCATACCCCTCATTGAATTAAAGCATACCCCTCATTGAATCAAAGCATACCCCTCATTGAATCAAAGCATACCCCTCATTGAATCAAAGCATACCCCTCATTCAATCAAAGCATACCTCTCATTGAATCAAGGCATGCGTCTCACTAAATCAAAGCATACTCAATCAAGACATACTCCTCACTCAATCAAGGCACTCCAGACGTAATCAAAACACTCCCCATTCATCGAACGCACACTCCTCACTCAATCAAGGCTTATACCTCAAACATTTAAGGCATTCTCCTAGCTCAATCAAAGGAAACTCCCCCCCCCCCTTTTATTTTCAATCATCAATGGAAACTAATTAATAGAGGCAAACGTCTCATTCAATCAAGGCAAACCTCTAACCCAATCAAGGCAAACCTCTAACCCAATCAAGGCAAACCTCTAACCCAATCAAGGCAAACCTCTAACCCAATCAAGGCAAACCTCTAACCCAATCAAGACAAACCTCTAACCCAATCAAGGCAAACCTCTAACCCAATCAAGGCAAACCTCTAACCCAATCAAGGCAAAGCTCTAACCCACTCACGGCAAACCTCTAACCCAATCAAAGCAAACCTCTAACCCAATCAAGTCAAACCTCTAACCCAATCAAGGCAAACCTCTAACCCAATCAAGGTAAAGCTCTAACCCACTCAAGGCAAACCTCTAACCCAATCAAAGCAAACCTCTAACCCAATCAAGGCAA